CTCTCCTTGATTAGTTTCCACCCATTGCTTCTTGTCCTGCCCTCAGGTGCTTTGGAGAATTCCCTGTTTCCCTGAAAATAAGACCTCCCCGGATAATACGTCCAATTGGGCTTTTGAGCGCATGCCCTAAAATAATCCCTCCCCCAAAAATAAGCCTTCCCCAAAAATATTGCAACACAGCAGCAGCAGCCATGAGATGACCATGCTCACTGCCTCCTGCACCTCAAAAATAAAAAGACCTCCCCAAAAATAAGGCCAAGCATTTATTTCAGGGAGGGTCAAAAGAAAATAAGACTGTCTTATTTTCAGGGAAACACGGTAGCTTGACTCTCTCTTTTTTGTGGCAGCTGTTTAGGTATCAGGACACTGCTATCAGTGTTGGAAAGACAAAGCAATGTTGGGTGTTTGAGGCCAGTCTCAAACAGATGTTTTGGAGTTATCCTGCTATGTTCTCAAGATAACATTCCAGTATCAATCATTAGAAATTGGAGCATGGAGGAAAATGGCATTAGCTGCTGCTGCTGTTTGCTCTTCTAAGGCTACGTGATACTTCCTTGATCCTTCTGAGCAAAAATGTATCTTGGAAAGGGGGAGGAGCCACCATTTACTTTCCTCCCTGAATGATCAAATCTCAGCTACAGCTGCAGTTTGTGGGAAAACCCTACACTTGGCAGCCAATACTTCTGGGCTGTGTTCCAGCTCTGCCACAAAATTCTACAACAACCCAACCTTCGTTCCAAACCCTGCAGGGTTCAGCAGGGAGCAGATGGCCAATATTCACAGAATTGGGGTCAGTGGCATCTGATTTTACCATTATTTTGATTTCAAGTTCAGCTGGGGGATTTTGCTCAAGAAGGCTAAAAGATAGACTATTATGAGTACCTGATGAAACACTTACCCAGAGGCTGCAAAAACAGCATAAATAATGGGATTCTTCACATCTTGGGTCTGCTGGATGAAGACATCCTCTTGAAGAGAAAGGAGAGAGTCAACCACACAGCACAACTAGAGTCAACCACACAGCACAACTAACTGTCCTGGTGATTCAGCAGCAAATAATCGAAGGAATCTGAAGTTAACCCAGGTATACTGGGAGCAACTTTTTTGGCTGATATCCTGCCTTTTTTTCATGGAGCTATCTATCTTTGGTGGTGGTGGGGGATAGCTATCAAATCAAATCTATGGTAGCTTAAGAGAAATAGATTTGGGGCTTTGCATTCCCTGTTTCTTCTAATATATAATTCTGCTATACAAAGTGGTGCAAATAGTCAAGAAACTCACAGTCTTTGGCAAAACAAGCAACCGCAGCTCAACCCAGCCCAGCTTCATAGCAATAGCATTTAGACTTACATACCACTTAATAGTGCTTTACAGCCCTCTCTAAGCGGTTTACAGAGTCAGCCTATTGCCTCCAACAATCTGGGCCCTCATTTTATCCACCTCGGAAGGATGGGAAGCTGAGTCTACCTTGAGCCTGGTGAGATTCGAACTGCCAAATTGCAGGCAGTTGGCAGTCAGCAGAAGTAGCCTGCAGTACTCCATTCTAACCACTGCTGCGCCACCACGGCTCTGCATAGAGTCATGGGGGGCTTTATATAGATGCAGATTTTTACTGGACCAGAAGAGACCTGAGTCTACTGGATGATGATGGAGGTTAAATCAAATTCCATTAATCTATTAAAAACTACTCTCCAACAAATCTGCAATAATATCTAATAAATATCAAATACATCCTTTTTTATCATGGGGGGGAGTTTTAGAAAAAATGTTTTAAATACAAGAAATGATCATTAGACTTGGATTGTCTAAAACACACACTTTCCCCCCCTTTTTGGCATGTTTCAGCAGATTTTCAGACATGCTCAACTTTCAGTTTTTATTTAACCTCTCGTTTCAGTTCAAAATGGGAATCAAAAATGTCCCTGTACAGGAAAGAATGCAGATGTTGCTTCTAATTCAGCTTCAGATGCTGATCGAAGAGATCCTTCCTGTAAGCAGGCAGGAGCCCTGCCAAGAGATTCCAGAAGAACCCAGGGAATGAAGATTGCCTGTGAACCGTCTGGTAATAATTTTGCGGAAGTGAAGCAAAGCAAGCATGGGGAAGGCCCAATGCTAACTTGTGCCCTAGCAGGAGAGAATCCATCAAAGGCTTTTGATGATGCTAAAAGCTGCAATGGGACTTATCCTCGAATGACCAACAGCCATTTGTTAAGCAGGTGCTGAGAGGAAGCTGACAAACAGCCCGCTAAGCGATTGCGTCTGCCTTTCTAGCAAACGGGATCCCCAACATTAATCACAGCCATTCTGGAGCCCCTCATCTTCGCTTTGCCCCCAAATACAACATCTATCAGGAGGTTAAGCAGGCTCCCTGCTTGAATGAGCTTCTATTATCTCAAAGCCAGTCCTGGTCTTTCCATCTGGTAACTCAAAGCTTCCTTTTCCCCTCACTCATCCTTCCTTTTCAGCAAGTGCTGCAAGCTAGTCAATGCAACACAAAGAAACAAATTGTGATGGGCTTCCAGAATGAATCTGACCAACAGGTTTTGCTACACAGCTGCTTATATCAAAGGAGATCCTTTAAGAAAAGGCCCATTTTAAGACAAATGTCCTGCTTCCTACAACAGCCATCTAAACTGAAAACTCCAGAAAGCCTGCAGGTAAGGACATGAGGACAGAAGCACACAGATTTGCTTTGAGAAAAATGATCTCTTTTTTTCAGTAAAGCATTTCATTCATGGCTGACAAATCACACATTACAAAACCCTTCAAAAGTCATTGCTGCTACTATTTCTTATCTCTCCTTCTTTGACCTTCAATCTTAACCATCAAAAGCTTCCAAACTTCCTTTTAATGTTTATTGAATCTTTCAAAATGCTTGTTTTTGTCTTCCTGGCTTTAGGCAAATATCCATGGTTTCATTAATCTAAATGAATGTGCTTGCTGTCTCTTCAAGCCATACTATTTTTTTTTAAAAATGTCCAAATTATATATCATCTACTCAATGAACTTGTGGGATACACTGCATACTTTACAGACTTTTCCAGCTTGATACCTTGGAGTAACCCGAAGTAGTTCCACTATCCATAATCCACATGGACGACAGAGGTGAAGTATTATCAAATATCCTGAAGATAAACTTCAAGATAAAGAGCCGAGGTGGCGCAGTGGTTAAATGCAGCACTGCAGGCTACTTCAGCTGACTGCAGTTCAGCAGTTCGGCTGTTCAAATCTCACCGGCTCAAGGTTGACTCAGCCTTCCATCCTTCCGAGGTGGGTAAAATGAGAACCCGGATTGTTGTTGGGGGCAATATGCTGACTCTGTAAACCGCTTAGAGAGGGCTGAAAGCCCTATGAAGCGGTATATAAGTCTAACTATTGCTATTAAACTTCAGTATATTTTTCTTCCTCCCCTCTCCCTTCCTTAAGCATACTGGACATAAATTATTTCAACTCCTACCCTCAAAACGATGCTATAGAGCACTGTACACCAAGACAACTAGACACAAGAAAAGTTTTTTCCCCAAACGCCATCACTCTGCTAAACAAATAATTCCCTCTCCACTGTCAAACCATTCACTAAGCCTGTATTACTATTAGTCTTCTCATCATTCCTATCACCCATCTCCTCCCACTTATGACTGCAGAACCGTAACTTGGTTGCTTGTTTCCTTATGATTTATATTGATATGATTATTTCCTGATTGCTTATTTGTACCCCCTGACTATCATTAAGTGCTGTACCTTATGATTCTTGATGAATGTATCTTGTCTTTTTATGTACACTGAAGAGCATATGCACCAAAGACAAATTCCTTGTGTGTCCAATCACACTTGGGCAATAAAGAATTCTATTCTATTCTGTTCTGTTCTATTCTATTCTATTCTATTCTATTCTATTCTATTCTATTCTATTCTATACCTTAAGTATAGCAACTAAAAAAATCTTAGCTCTGCATTCTGACAGAAAATTACTCTTATTTTTATTTAGAATTTGGGGAAATTTTTTTTCATTTTAAATTAAAACTATACAAGCATTTTTTTTTTCAGAGCTATCAATGCAGTTTACAGACCTGATCTAATCTATTGGCTGCCTGTGGGAAATCTGTCTGAGCTTCACAGGCTAAGCCATCTCCTAAATTGCTTAGGGCTTCAATGGCTCCCTTAAATACCCCCTCATCTCTTTCCATTCCCCCTCCCCCCAGCCCCACCACATACATACACAATCCGTGCCATGAATATACATACGGAGTTCATCGAAGTGTGTTTCGATTCCATCAGGCCCTGGGACAGAACAGATGAGCCGTGCCTTTAGGAATGTGCTCCATTTATTTACTAGGCAGCAATGGCCTCCATCATCATTCTAAACCAAAGAAGAGCCGTGATTTAGGTTGAAATTCTATCTCAATCATGGAATTTCACTGGTTAAGGGTGGGCTTGTCACTCTCATATCAGCAAAACTCACATCACCAGGTTGTTGGCATAAAGAACAACATAGAAGTATTATATGTCTGTCTAGGATATAAATGTCATGATTTTTTTAAAGCCACAGAGGCTATAGTTTTTAACTGCAACCTAACTATGCTGGAATCAAAAGGATTTACTTTTAGGCTTGCTCTTAAACTGGACTTTTTTTTTTAAATGTTCCCAATGGGAAAAATTATAGGAGCAAGAAAGATGACTGTATGGAAATGGACAGATATTCTAGCTGTAGAACAATATATCAAAGTAGCATAAGAGGTATGAGAACAATGAGGGAAGAGGAGGTTTTTACCTTTGGAAAAGGATGGATGGGGGGGGATACAGAAATGTTTAGAGTTATGTAGATTTTTTTTTTGTATGGGAAATTCTCAACATCATCCAGTCTGGTTCTTCTTCTGCACTCACCAAGCAAATGCGTCCAATGCGGGAGTAGACAACTGGGCTCTGTGGAGAATCGGTGGATTTTTCTCGGAAGAAAAAATATAGCTTGTCATCATTTTTCTCAGCACTGTCTGGGATGAGCTTTGCATGGACAAATGCTGGATCTGCAGAGGGGAATAAAGCCAAGACAATTACTAGGATTAAAGAATTGGGGAAATAGTCCCCAAATATTCCTCCCAGTCTTTAGAAATTTACAGCATTGGTACCTAAACGGAGCCCTCTAAAGTTTTGGTGTGGCCTTCTACACATTTCTACACATTGTTTTCAAATGTTAATTTGAAGGGAAAAATAATGAAATACATGGTTGGAGCCCAATAGCTACATTTTTTGCCACACCAGTTCACCATCTGAAACGCAGAGGCCAAATGTGATCCTCAGCATATCCTTTAAGAAAATAGAGAATATAGCCGCAACAACACCTGTACAATTCTTCAGCAGCATTTTGGTGTCAGGATTCACCCACTGAAAAAGGAGCATCTTCCATTTTCTTTTCATGCTCCAAATCTGCTGTAGCTAAGGCTTGAACTTAGCTTATTGTTCCAGAATACAAAGCCTTGCCAAGTTAACTGGCTCGAAATATCAACTGGCAATTTTTCCTAGCATATTACAATGGAACATATTGCTTGTTCTGTTAATTGCAGCTATTTGCCTCATGTTTTCTGTAGCCTTGTCTGGGACACGATTCTTTTATCTGAAATTCAATTCTCAGTTGAAAAATAATCTAGATTGAAAGAAAGTTGTTGCATGCCAAAAGTTGGGTCTCACTTTTTGGAGCACATATTTTGTTTGCAGAATTCTTTCTTGACCTGCAATGTCTCTTTTGAATAGCTCACATGGGGAAATTAGCTTGAAACATCTGTGTTCACATACCAGAAACCTGATCTTTTTTTTGGGGGGGGGGGTGCCTTCAAGTCAGCATCAAATTCCTGGTTGGACGAGTCTCTGCAGTTTTCTTGGCAAGGTTTTCCTGAAGTGGTTTGTCATTGTCTCCTTCCTAGGGCTGAGAGAAAGTGACTGGCCCAAGGTCATCCAGCTGGCTTTGTGCCCAAGGTCGGTCTTCCAGTTTCTAGCCTGATGCTTTAATTGCTACACTAAACCGGCTCTTAATCTGAATCTTTGCTGCCCCAAAAATTAGAAGATAAATTATCTTGTCAAAGAATGGAAGCAATTTTAATAAGGCAACTGCAGGAAGATTCACCAGCAGTAGTTTATATTTTCATTCTCATGGTGCATTCACAAACTAATCTTGGGTTTTTTTGTTTTTTTTTGATCTGTGAAGTAATTTGGTGAATTTTCTGGGTCCTAAAAGAATATTGGAATTTTAGTTGAGTATAAAAAGAGCACTTGAAATGTGTTGCTTTTGTTGTTTTTCCACTGCAGAATTTAGGACTAGTACATCTAACAAAATTGGTTTGGGTGCAATATATTGGTTTGATAATAACAACTAAGTTAGCATCTAAAAAGTCATATAATTCACTGTTTTTTCAGTAATAAAATGAATAAAATTCAGATTCCATAAAGTGACGTATATAAAGAATAAAATGCATAGTATAAAAAAACACAAAAATAAAAATCAACTATGCGTTCAAAAGTAAATTAACTAAATACAGTATTTAGCCTACTTTCAGGGACCAGAATGGGCCAGGAATCTTTGTATGTCCTTATGTCTTCACTTTGTGCAACCTATCTCAGCTTATGCACATTACAGCCAGTTTGGTATAGAGGTTAAGAGACCAGGCTAGAAACTGGAAACAGTGAGTTCAAGTACTACCTTACCAGTGGTGGGTTCCAGATCCTGTTCCAACTGGTACAGATGGAACTTGCCCAGTGGCATCCACATGGATGCGCGCAGCGCACGCATGTGTCTTAGCACCTCCACAAGCCTCCGCAATGCTCCAGCTGCTTAGCAGAGTGTTGCGCAGGTGCTGTACGCGCTGTGTGCATGCATGGAAGCACAGAAGACTTAAAAGACCATTTAGGAGCTTGGGCAGGTGGACAGGCCCTCCGGAGCACCGTACCGGAACGGTATCCAGTGCTCCGGGCTGGCTACGGTACACCTGTACTAGGGCATACGGCCTGCAACCCACCACTGTACCTTACCCATGAAAGCCAGCTAGGTGATCTTGGGCTAGTGACTCTCTCTCTCAGTCCCACTTACCTCACAGAGTTCTTGTAGTGGAGAAACCAGGAGGAAGAAGGGATATATTTATATCCCTCCATATAAATGCTGAATCAAGCCAAGGCCAACTTTCCCCCCTACATTTTGGGATTTTTACAGTGGCATTTTGGGTGTTCACAAGTAGGAGATGGAGGCATGTCAATCTCCTGCTTTGGCTCTTTTGAATTTTGAAGCCTGTCACACCCAACCTAGAGTCTTGGGACTCTGGATCAATAGATCTGTATTCCTTGAGTGACTTTTTAAAAAATCATTTATATATTAATAGCTTAATTACATGCTGTGTAAAGACCCAGCTTTTTCTTAAAGGAAAACGTTTGAAGCCCCTGATCATTTTGATTGCCCTCTTCTGCATTTTTTCAGCTTTGTTATAATCTTTTTCAAATGTGGTCACCAGAATTGTACACAATATTGTAGATGTAGATGTGAATGTGTAGATTTGTATAAGAACATTGCTACACTGATAGTTTGATTTTTATTCCCTTCTTTACTGTAACATGCAATTTGCCTTAAAGGTTTACCTTTGTAAATTAATTATGGTTTAAACGTTTTACACTTAAAAAAAAAGCATTTCTTTAGGCAATATTTCATACCTTAGCCCCACCATCCTCCCAAAAGAATCTCAACTACTTTTGGAAAAAAAATCCCACACCCCTTGCTGTTTGTTGCACTGAAACCCCCTCCTGGGATGTGATGATAGTTGCAAGTCTTTGTCTCAGCCAACAGAAATAAATGTTGACACAGTGTTCAGTGAGTTAAGCAGCTATTCACCACAGCTCTGCAGAAAACGTAGCAAGCGTCCTGATTAACTGGGCTGTAGTCCACTCTGGTGGTATTCTGAAATCTGTTCCTCATATTATCCCATTTGTAATGTAAAATGATGAAATAAAGAATTCTTTACTTATACAGCAGTGCTTGAAAAGAGCGAACAGGAATGCATGGGTATAATGCTATATAAAAGTGCTGAGGTAGTGTTTTTCAAAATTTGGGCAACAAAGCCGTCCCAAATTTGTTAGTTCTGCGTCCCCTTATCTAAATAGAAAACACACTCAGTGCTTTATTTCTTGCATCAGCTTATTTTCTGTCCAGCTCCTATAGACCCATCCTATATATTAGCATATAAAAGAAAGGGTCCACGGTATTTCAGCTGCACAAAAGATGATTAAGAAAAGAAATGGAGGTTCTTCAGATATATCACAGCACTTCATGGCATGGTTTAGGCTACATTGCGGAAAACAACAATAACTTAGAAGATTAAGAATTTATTTGGACATAGCCTATGTTTTCAGGGGGGTCAGCAGAATATTGCTAGGAGTAATTTGATCATCTCTGCAAGTCCTTTTATGGACACATGTTTTCCTTTCAGTTGATGATAACCAAAGTTAGGCTATTGTGCTAAAAGATGGCAAGGAGAAAAACTATGAAACTGCTATAAAAAACGCTATTAGGTTAACCAAAATTAAAGTTTAGCTACAATTCAACTGATGAATAAAATAGAATAAGATAATAAACTGTGCTATCTAAAAAAAGCTACTGCAATAGAGAATTTGCAGTGCTTAATAACTACAGATGAGAGATAGCAATGTAACACTTGGGAAAACGTGGAGCACGATTGGTTCTAGCCAGCAGTCCAATTCCTAGGATGTTTTGAAGGTTACTTGGCAGAACTTGGCAACAGCATGCATTATACGTGAATCAGAAAATAACATGAAAATGTAAGATGGGTTTGTATGGCCTGGCAAACCTAGCTAGTGGTGGATCTCTCTGTAAAACAGGCAGAAGAAGATGATGATGACATGCTTGGGGTTTTTCACTTGTCTGGGATTGTGTAGGCAGAAATACACTGGGAAGCCTTCCTGTGTCTTCTATTGAATGCAGCCAAATAGAGAGCATTGCAGTCCACTCATTTATTTTTCTCAATGAAGACATGGAATGTTTTGTAAATCCAAACTTATTATTTTGATGTCCATTTCCAATAACCTTCCCAATTTCTACCAAACATCCCTTGGTATGAGACTCTGGCATAAGATTTATATTGCTGCAAGGACACCTGTCCGCTTTCAAGACCTTCTAAGAATTTCTAGGAGGCTTGCAATTTGGAGAAGTTTGGTTATTTTCTTTAGAGCCTCTGAATTACGAATTGCCAAGCATATGGTGGCCCATGTAATCCAGCATTGCTTACACCGATAGCTCTCTTCAGGTTACTAAAATGAGATTCCTCTAAACATGATACTCATCCTCGGTTTACTCAGCTGTTTGTGCTGTTCCTTAACAGCTGGAGTTGCAACCAACAGGAGGCTAAGATCTTTTCTTATTGGCTCCCATTCCAGGATGCACGCTGGAGAAGATGTGGCAAGGGATTAAATGCTCTGGATCAGTTATCAGAAATGACAAGAGTACAAACCTGCCCTTTACCATCAAATTTGTAAGGAGGAATAATGCCAGAAACAGCCTGCTCTGGAATTAACAGAAGGGGAAAGATGTCACGGGCATGGAAGCAAACAAAGGGGCCTCCCTTTGTTTCATAATTCAGTCATAGTTGTACTCCTCCCCAGCTGGCTAAACAAAATTATATAAAGGTCAGTTGTCACTTCGGACAGTTATGTCATCTTCAGCAATCTGATCTGCTAAGTGTAAACAAATGAGCATTTGCAGATTAGTGCAGTCGGCTCTACATGGGGCTGCCCTTGAAGATCACCCAGAGGCTACAACTGATCCAGAATGCAGCAGCCTAGGCTGTGACGGATGTGGCGCAGTATGCCCATGTAACATTGCTGCTTCGTAAACTGTGTTGTTTGCCTCTGGGCTTCCTGGTGCATTCCAGGGACTGGTTATCATCTATGAAGCCTGGATCTTTGAGGAGCTACCTATCTTCCTTTGTTTCTGCCCATGTGGTAAGATTGTGCAAAGTAGACACACTCAAGGTTTCCTCTATTTGTTCAACTATTTGTCCTCTGCAATAGTATCCCCCCACCACAGATCCATGTGGTTCCCACCCTAATAGAATAGTATAGAATAATAGAGTTAGAAGGGACCTTGAAGGTCTTTTTGTCCAACCCACTGCTTAGGCAGGAAACCCTACACCACTTCAGAAAAATGGATATCCAACATCTTAAAAATGCCCCAGTGTAATGATGTTCCAAAATCTTTTACTGTTCTCCCAGGCCTTGGGAACCCTCTTTCGATTGCTTTTTGTTGATTTTTTCCCTTCTGGACCTCTATCATAAAATAAAATAAAAATATTTTATTGCTTTTGCTTTTAAAGTGTAAGCTATCCAGAGTTGTTTGGCATTGAGCAACATCAAATAAACAAATATATATTCCCCAAACACTGTGTTTTTCAAACCACCCACCCTTGAGGCATTTCAGATCTGTGGATGCTACAAGCATGGAAGAAGAAGAAGAAGAAAGAACTCTATCCCATTTTCTTGCACATAGATAGACAGCATGAGCAAAGGACAATAGAACAGAAATGAGGAAATCAATGTATTATGAAGATTGGAAAAAGAAATGTGTTTATCACATGAAAGAGGGTATAGCAGAAGGATATGTAGAGCGTCATGGGAATGGAAATATAATAAAAAAAGACCCACAGGGCACCAAGAAAGGAGATTGGACCCAACAAGCTTAATGAAGATTCATAACTGAGTTAGAGAGCAGGCTATATATGGATGAATAAAAGAAACCAATCAGGGGAAGTTGATATGACTTGGCACAATACCATATGCTTTGAAGAAATCAGGTCTGGAGAGTCATATACCACATTGTGCATTGACAGAGGGGATTTAAAAATAAGAAAGGAGATTGCTGGGTGCTCCCACAAGCATAATGATAGCAAATTATGATAGCAAAGTGCCAACTGGTATTTCTTTCTTAGAAGCAGAGGACAATAAAAAGAAAGTGATGGTAGGAACCTTTCAACTTTGCACGGATAATATTTCTGCTGTTTTTAGGCAAAAAAAACCCCAACATTTTAAGAAATCAGTTTCACCCCACAGTGTGGCCTGTACAATGGACTCAGTTGTCGAACACCATCTCCTTTTCTGTCCTCCCTCACAAACTCTGTTGTATTTTGCCCCTCACTTACCATTGAGCCAACGGGAGTTGTACTGGTCAGTTCTCATGGCAGTCTGCTTGCCCAAAGTGCGGAAGATGGCTGCATCTGTGCCCATGAAGTCAATGTAGACGCCAGCATAGAGTTCTTCATCTGTGAGCAAGGGTAAAAAACAGGGGGAGGGGGAGGAAGAGAACACAATTGTTCTGTTCTAAGGAATGCCTTATTGAATTTCTTGTCATTACTGTATTGCCATGCTGGCAGAGTATCCTGGAAAAAGTTGCCCCACCCAACTTTTGTGTTGAGGGCATTAGGGCTGGAAAAGTTAAATTGTATTATGATAAATGACCCTCTTTCCTATACTAGGAACAAAGCAAGGGTACTCTACTCAGCTGGGATGCCCATCATTCCACTGATTTGCTGAATGAAAGATAACAAAGAAAGCCCAAACTTCTACAGACAGAAGAGAGCACTGTCTGCATTTTTCATATAATATTCTATGAACAGAGCAGAAGAAGATTAGAAAGGAGCTTCCCCCTGGCTTTTTTCCCCCTGTACACAAGAATTGTGGGTGGCAACCTAAACATGAATTGAATATTGGGAAGGGAAACATGTTTAGGGAGATTATTCCCTGGTCCACCTTCAAAAACAAGAAAAGGAATCTTTAGTGATGACTTTGGTGTTTAATATAATGTCAAGAGAAGAAGAAACTGAATGCAAAATTTATTTTTCCTGAATGACATCAAGCATTGCAATGCTTAAGTGTGGGGAGAGGGGGTATTATCAGCATATTTCCCCCTGTCACAGTTTTGCCTTTAGTCACAAGACCTGTTGCTCAGGTTAGTGCTTCAATAGGCAACCTAAATTTTAAATACTGTACATGCAAATAGTAGTAGAAGGGACTGTGTAGCCTATATCTCAAAAGGGAGTGATACTGGGCAGAAAGATATGGGAAAGAGGAAGAGTGAAGTACAGAGATTTCCTTAAAGGTAAAGGTTCGCCTCACACATATGTATTAGTCATTCCTGACTATAGGGGGTGGTGCTCATCTCTGTTTCAAAGCTGAAGAGCCAGCACTGTCCGAAGACGTCTCCATTGTCATGTGGCCGGCATGATCAAACGCTGAAGATGCACAGAATACTGTTACCTTCCCACCAAAGGTGGTCCCTGTTTTCTTACTTGCATTTTTACATGCTTTCGAACTGCTAGGTTGGCAGAAGCTGGGAAAAGTAACGGAAGCTCACTTCATTACGTCGCACTAGGGATTCGAACCGCCAAACTGCTGACCTTTCTGATTGACAAGCACAGTGTCTTAGCCACTGAGCCACCACATTCCTCTGAGATTTCTGCGTCCCTCTAAGATTTCCTTACTTTTCCTTAATTCCCATGCCCTGTCTTAAGCTGCCTGCAAAGACCAGCCCACTGAATCCCTATATTCTGAAGGTCAGCTTAATTCAAAGCTAGAAGTCTTTTAAATATTTGATAGTGAGCCCGAGGCCAAGCTCTTAACTTCTGCCAAATTCTAAAGAGCTGCTAGGAAAATAAAGGCAAGAAGAAGGCCAGGATGTGTACTGTAGGTCTTGTTCTACTAACCTCTCACCTCCATTTAAAGACTTAAAACAGTCTGTCAGGAGCAAAAGGCAAACATCTTTTTATTTGGCAGTTTTGTTAAGCAAGCGTGCAAGTGAAGCATGTGCGCATGGAACGTGGGGATTTTCTGCTGATGCTACTGCTCCAAAGCTCATAACAGAGGACTTAATAAATGAACCAAATGTTCATTAGGCCCTGATGCACTGGCACAGGGGCACAATTGTTGCTTTTCCCAAACCGGGGTCACAGCTGCTGCCAAATTAATTTTAAACTTTAGGGCTTGTCCTGTAAATGGATATTGGTGTCTGGACAAAATCAGAGGCTGGCAGGTCACATCAAGGGGCTGGGAGATTTATGGGAATCAAGAACTCTGGCCAGTCCTGGATCTGACTGAGAGGGGGAGGGAAACAGTGCAGCTGTTGTGCCACTAGTTAGCGTGGGGTAAGCAGGACAATGATACCACTCCTAATGATCTCCCTGCTGTGAGCTTATGTAACTCCAGCTCTCCTCCTAAGGAAAAGATCTGTGGAGGTAGAGTTCCCACATAAGAGATGGAGTAGCCATCTGGGAAAGGGAGACAGTGCTTAGCCAAAGTTCAGAAGAAGGTCCATGCTTGGAATCGATCTGCAGGTGCATAAAACAGAAAAGTCTGCATGAGGCAATGGAAGATAAAAAAAACCAATGAGACACGTTGCTCCCCTTTTCTTTCATATGGCCAAGCACAAACTAGACCGATTATCAAAAGATGAAGGCAAGAAGGTTAAAACTGCAGGAGGAAATTATGGTGACTCTGCACAATCAGTGGAATTAAAAAAGGATTCAGCATCCTGATGGGATATCTTTAAGGCCCTATGTTGTTTGTGATCAGAATATTTAACAAAACATCTCCCATGTGCCATGAGACCAGCAGCATATAAATTTAATAAGTGATAATAATATTGATCTCAATGCTTGCTGAATTGTCTGGGAAGTTAGCCACATCCGCTGGTGATCCCTGCTGCCAGCCCTGTTCTTTGGAATATAGTTTCTGCAATGTTGAAGGACCTAAGGCAATGTTGGCGAACTTATGGCATGAGTACTGGAAGTGGCATGCAGAGCCATCTCTCTGGGCATGCCACCCGTTGCCCATTGTTTTTCCGGGTTCTGGTGTCCACGTGTGCACCAGCCACTGGTCTTCACATGCACATGTATGCTAGAAACCGGAAGACCAGGTGACCAGTATGCATGCGCATACCAGAAATCAGAAGCTGAGCTTCCCAGCACATGCATGCTCTGGGGAACTGCTCTTCCAGTTTCCAGCACCACTCGGTGCTGAAAAGATTTGCTAACACTGACCTAAGGTATTTGTTACCTTTACAAAGTTTCTTCGTACTCACCTTTAAAATGAACCTTTAAGCCTTGTTCATTTTAATTCTTAGTTCTTTTCTTTGGTTTTTATTTGCTGTGTTAACTATTTCTAATGCTTTGATTGTAAACATTTTTATTATGAGATTTATTTACTGCTGAGAGAGTTCAAGAGTTAAGGGTATATCAAGTTCAGTAAATTAATGAATTATGACAGAATAACAGTTGATAGCTCTACTAATTCTGCTAAGTATCAATTAAATTTCACATCAAATCATTACCATTTAATGATTGTAAGCCACCTAGAGTCGCCTCCAGATGAGATTGGTGGCATATAAGTTGAATAAATAAATAAGAATAGATTCAGTGTCATATGTCAATAGGAGAAGCAATGCCACCTTTAATAAGTGAAAATGAAGGAACACAATCGAAATAGTTTTCACTTCATTTCTTTATAAGTATTCTCAGGAACTCATTGAGTTTAAAAAAATCTTACTATCAACCTTTTTGGGTGTTTTTAAAAAGATCTAGAGTTTTATGACTCCTTCTGATGCAAGGAGATACCAGAGTATACTTTTAAGGGTTCTGTTGACTAATGTATTACTCACTAGAAAGACTGACATTGTACAGCCAAGAAACTCACTTATTAATGCTGATACTGTGTCCACCTTCGGGTCATATGAGCATTTCCCTTTGCCTGACTCCAACTTCTCTGGCTCTAAGTAGAATATATAATCCTGGAATAGAAGGCAAGAGATGGATATACCATCTGTGTTATCACACACCTTTACTCTGGATATCTCCAGCCACCTCAGATATAAGGCACACATATATGAATTAATAGAATACAAAGTTATCTTTTTTGGGGTAGAACATTCATGCAATACAGTTACAAACGCTTAAATTTAGGCAATTCTGGCCCCGAATATGTCTGCCCCCTCAAAGTGGCCTTGAACCATTCATGAAAGCTGATTCTGGGGTAGATCAGTGGGGATTACATCAGTTCATTATACAGAGAAGACACTTCCACACCATGACCATGCCATGGTGTCCTTTTTAAATGCTACTTTTGTTTGAGTGGAGAAAACCTCCAAACTATGTTTCAGGCTTAAACAAATGGCTCACCCCATAAAAGATACCTTTCTCCCCCATCAGTGAGCTCTATTGTAAAGCAGAGTCCACGTTTTGAATGTTCCATCAACATTGGGCCAGAAGATCCAATGGCAGCAGAGAAGTTACAGCAGGCACTGTTCCTAATGCATGTTTTAAATGGCCAATTGGGAACATTTTCTTAGATGCTCTTAGTTCATCCCAGCAAGTGCAGTGCTGTTTATGTACTACAATTCTGATCAATATTTCAGCCTCATCACAGCTCTCCCAACCACTTTATATTTTGGAACTATTAATCGTCCCCCAAGTATATGTTTTACATTTGAATTGCCAAAATAACATTTTTTTTGGGGGGGACAAAATAAATCTGTTTGGGATAGGAAAAAGGAACAGTTAATATTAAAATGCTATTTTCTGCCCGGTTTTCCTGCATGCTGTTATGTTACAAGGCATTGCATGCAAAATGTTACTTCTAGAGCTCGCCAAGTCATGGAATCATCATAAATCGTATTCAAAGCAAAGAGAAGGAACTTCATCAAGGAAGCCCATCCCCCTCCCTCTTATTATACTGACCTGCTATATCATATTTTTCAGACCATTGACAGGCATGCAGAATTTCTCATTGCTTGTAAGCCATTCAGTGGAGAAAAATAGCTGCACTGTGCATGCAGACATTTGAGGAAAGTGTTTAGTTACCCCCAAATTATTCTTAAATGATACCCATCCACATAGGGGACTGTTTAAATAATGCTGTGTCACCTTGTTGATGACAGCATCTGAATTGGTGCTGAAATGTAATCAGGAGATATTAAACTGAGATAAATGTGAATATAGCATGAATCACATCTCTCCACTAAACACATCGGGGACTTTCAGATAACCACTAGTTGCCTTGTAACAAGCTATATGAAAGAACACGTAGTAGCAAATCTAGTTCATTTTTCTCTGAAGATACCCAAGAGCAGACAAACATGAATAGGGTTGATAAGATCCAGACATGAGATGTCATGCTGAAAGTTTTAAAATAAATGACATTAATTACTCCCTAACTCTGATATGGTATGTTGAGAGTTACTTCTGCTCTTGCTAAGAGTTGCTGTAAAAGTCTGCAGGTGCATAAAGAGCCACGCAGATGTCCTTCCTAACCAGGGTGGTAGAATTCACTTTTTTTTGGGGGGGGGGCGGGAAGCAGTCTAGGTCTTGTTAATAAATTGTTAGGAAATCGTTGCTTTGCTGTGTTAGGACCATCGGGAAATTTAAAAAAAGCAAATGCTCTATAAAAGCTTAGAGGCATTTTGTGTTTTGACAGATTGATAGAAATACTTGGCATAACACTTAATATAACTTTTAATTCCCACTGTTTAATTGATCCATCTTGAAATAAATATGACAGGGACATCACTGCTTTTTTTTTTTTACTATTAAATATATTTGGGGAAATCCATATTGAAAATGTTAAAATATTTTTTTAATCACAAATATTAACACAGCCATTTTGAAACAAAAGTAAATTCAAAGTCAGTTGAACAGGCACACTTGCACTTTTATTAGCCATGTAAATTATGGTGTGCAATATGTTTTTAATAGTTTACAACACGGTTGTCCAACCTTTTGGCTTCCCTGGGCCACACTGAGTAAAGAGGAATGATCTTGGGTCACGTATAAAGTATGCAATATAGTTAATCTAGATGAATAAAAAAACTTCATTTTTAAAAAATATTTTTAATTATCTTGTGGGGCTGCATTACTAGCTGTCCAAGACCACATGCAGATTGGACACTGTTGATTGATAACATGTTTTGTCTGTATTTTATAGTCAAAAGCTCAAATATAGGCAGATAACCAGGCGTTGTAGAGATACTGTTGAAGAACTGTGGCTATATATTAATAACTAATTCTGACAAAAATAAAAATAGGAGCTTCTTGGGTCTTTATTTTCAACTCCCCAAATGGAAATCACAATTGTTTAACAGCTTTGCATCCAAAGCTGAAGAGAGCATGAGAGAGAATGTGAGTTATGTGGTTAGAATATTATTAGTGGGTTCCTCCTTTTGACAATATTCATGCCACTAGGGTTTCAAATAAATGCCATCTTAAAGAGGGATCTGTCTAAACAAAAAAAACTGTGGCCCAACTTTTCCTGAACAATTGCTAAAGTCAGCAATTTTTATTAAAAATGGGCTGAGTCAGTGTAAAACACATCAAAGGCGTTGGTTGGGATGAATGAACAAGATGAAAGAATAGATGTGACTATGCCTATAAGGAATTGGAGAGCATATAGTCTCAATGTTAGCCTAGATAAAGCCCAGAAACATCAAAATATTGTCAGAAATTCACATAGACAGAGCTTTGAATAATGACAGGGCTTTGACAGAAAGTGCAGGGATCGTTTTTTGCTTGGGGCAAGGACAGTGGAAAGATCACCTGGCCACATATATGATATTCCTTTCTGGTAGAAGGATGCCTCCCTTTTCTATCTGTCCTTTTTTCAGGGAGATTCCTTTTGAGGACTATTTATCTCAGCTATGTATTTTATCTATTTTAATAATAGAAGCCACCCAAACTTGTTGAAAGGTGGAATTGGAATATCTTAAAGAAAAAGAATCTGCTCACTTAAAAGAACTACATTTGATCCCTTCAGGAGGCCCACTAAATAAGTTAGACAATCTTTGTTTAAAATGCACTCTTTAAATTCACCTTAGGACTTTGTGAACTAAGATGTTGCAAAATAACATCAACACTTGAAATTAACCTGTTCAGAGAAATGTTTGAAAGTCTAGATTTTATTGTTAGAACAATTTAGTCATGCAACAGTTTGATATTACGGCCAAAAGAATCTGTCTGGCCTTAGAGAGGCAGTTCTGCAGATTCATCATATGAACATTTTAGGTGCATCATTTTGAACTCAATGTAGAAATCTGTTGCCAAATGTAAAAAGGATGAAGGATTTATATCACATTGAAATCCAAGAAGAAACACATTAAGAAAGGGATCTCTTTAACTTTTAACTTGTAAGTGTTAACTTTGTTCTCAACTATGCTTTTAATCTGTGCTTTATTCTTGTGTTTATATTGTTTCATTATGTTGTTGTAAACCATCCAGAATCACTAAGGTGAGATGGGTGGTGTAGAAAACTGATAAATAAACAAATCTCATGGCCAGTAATTCTAAACCCCAGACTAAATTGACTACACAATTTACTTCCTTCCTTCCTTCCTTCTTCTCTCCCTCTCTCATTTTCCAACAGCTAAAAAAAATAAATTTAGAATCTGTAATTGTGTACACGTCCAGCTGGCTGATCCCCCAAATTAAAACATGCTCTTATAAACAGCATCCAACCCCTTGGATCTTCCTCTCTGTTCATACTGTTAACATGTGTTTATACAACATACAGAAATACATCCCATCCACATCCCACCCACCCACCCCGCCTCCCATTTTCAGCATGACTTTGATCCTTCCAAACTACTTGCAGCTCATGAGGCGGCCTCTTTTCAGTTCAACATTTGCTTGAAATAACAATCTCATGTGTCTACATTTCAAGTGGATGGATACAGGATCTTGTCCTATACGCTAAGGTCAAACATTTTGAGAACCTTATTTCTTGACGCAAGTCTGATGCCTGAGCCTGGGGAAGGAGGAATTAGTCTGAGAGAGGAGACGCAAGGAGAAGCTGTCCAGGAAGCGCGCTCATTGCTGGAGGGACATGTTTCTATCCTGGCCACACGTGGCCCTCCCCCCTGCCCCTTAGTTGCCTGTTAGGTGCATGCCAGTTGAAAATGAAGGTTAGAGAGCCCAGGCTCGGGCATGCTAGGGAAGGAGCCATTTTGTCCTTGGGGAAGGACAGGCAGAGCGCAATTCCCACCTTGCGTTCCACTGGAGACGGGTGGAGGGAGGAGTCAACTGCTCTACTTCCCCGTCCTCCCTGCTGGATGGACTGGTTCAGCTCAAAAGCCTGAGGAGAGGAGGAGCAGAGAGTTAGCACTGGCAGCATCATCTGCCAGAGAAGCAGGAATGTCAGGGTGTGGCCAGAGAGCATGCAGAAGCTTCACTATCTCTGTCACGTACACATATTGATTACCATTGAGACCAAGGTTGTCTTCAGAAATAGTTATATCCTCTTTATGTTCTGAGTAGGATAGTCAGCTATTCTCCAGGGCTATCTGGAGAATGTCATACCTGAATGGGTCAACACTGAGAACTAAAAGATTTGGCTGCATAACTAATACATCTTTAACATTTTTAATGAGCATCTGGGTCTCCAGATGTTGCTAAATTACTATTTCTAGTGAACATGATCAATGAGTAAGAGCTGTAAGGCCATCAGGATATGGTGGGCCATTAACTTGGTTTTTGCATAGAGGCATAAGCTGTAGTTAAAGACAGAATAAGTATGAAGCCAAGATTGTCTTTTCTTTTCAATAATTGCTGTGCTTTTTGTTTAGATCTTGGGAAGAAAGGTCCTTTTTGAAGCATTAACAATATGTAAAATGGTACCTTTATATTTCTTTTATCATGTAGTTACAACTGAAAGTCATAGCAGCAATATAGTATCAGAAACCTGTGACAGAAAATGGTTGTGAGGTCTGTTTTAAAATTAAACTAGGCAAAACCTTTGAGGAAAATGAAAATGAGAAAGTAGTTTAATGGTGAAAACATTTTCCATGGCTATACAAGCAGTTTTCCCTTATATCATTTTTAAGGATCAGTGATATCTAAAACCAGTAAGTCAAAACAAAATACAATGAAATCACACCCCCTAAACTATTACAGGTGTGCTAAATAGCAAAGATAAGGCTGATGTTACATAAATTGGTAATGATGTACCAGTCCACATTGGATGGAGGTTATACAGACCCATTAATGTCAAAGATGGTGTCACTTATCTGTTAATTGAAAACATGTTAACAACAGCAAAACCTCTCGTTGCTGGGAAATGAAACTTGAATAATGTTCTATTAATAGTAGAATAAAACATGGCATGCTTCCAGACTGTAAAAATGATGAATGATGTGCAGAATGCAAATAATCCTTTAAAGACATAATTGAAGCAACTTCAATGACATTTCCCGAGATGCTGGATCAATTACCGCAACGTGACATAATTTTGTGCATTCCTGGGATTTGAACTCTATTAAGTGCAATGGCAGTTTATTGCTTTAAAAATGTGCATTGCGCTGAGCTATATGTACCCATGCAATGTATATTTAATTTTCTTACAATTTTTCTCCTTTCTTACAATATTCTATTCTATTTCTTTGACGTCTACTTTAGAAACCACAGATACTAAACCAGATCAACACAATTTATTCCGACACATAATTTACCTAATTAATCATCAGATGCTTGTAGACCATTTTTTAAAATTCTGCTACAATTTTTTTTCTTCAAACTTTGTGGTCCTTTTAAATTAGCTTCAAGTTATCTTTTCCAAAACATAAAATTCCATCTACATAATAGAACCTGTGAAACACAGTTTTCCTTTATCCCTGCCTTCCGGGGACTTTATACTCCAATTATTTTCCTGGTGGGATAAGAATACATAGTGAATTGGAAATATTTTTTTGAAAACAAGTGTATCTTCCATCATAGCCAATCAAATTTCTGAAGTAGCTATGCATTCATAAACATTTTCATATGCTTCTCCCTTATTCACTCATGTTTCAAAGTTGGGATCATTGCAAAAATGAGACTAGTCCTCTGGTTCACCCCAATAGTCAATGGACAGAAGATAGAAATGGATGGACCACCATAATGCTTAAAATCTCTCACCTCCTTTAAGCATAGAGAAAGAATATCCCAGTACACACAAATGGTATGTACATTTTCTAATATGTACAAATGGAAACATGCATGATTGTGCATTTGTTGCAGCAAGGCTCAGGGATATGTTCTATGTGGTTGAACCTAGCATAGAAATCCTGATTGCTCTATTTTGCTTAGAAAAATGTTAGCATTGGCTGGAGAATGCCTGTATAACCATTTGTTTGGATAGATTTGATCTCGCTTAAGACTCTTGCCTTTGAGCTAACATAAGAGGTAATCCTTGGTCCTGAATTTGTAAACATTTTCGTAAGCAGGCACTTCAATCATTTCCAGGAAGACTTCCTGTAATTATGATAGTGCGTGTTCAGGTTAAGTATGGAAATGTTTTTGAGACCCTTAAAAATAGGAATCTCATTCTACTTGCAGTGTTTTACCATAAGGGGAAAAATAAGATAAATTAAACATGAGAGTGTTTTCCAGGTTTTGAGGGACTTCCCAGAGCCAACCAAAAACAAACTTAAAATAGAATAAGCAACATTATGAACTCTGATTTACTCAGCCGAATCATTCTTTAGGAGAAAGATTTCTCATTGTTTTTAATGTAAGATTCATCATTTGACTAAGAATTTTGCTTCTTTATGGCATGGTCTCTCTCAAGACCTATTAGTTCCAAATATCTATAGGTGTATAGAAGGAGGCCTGCTAGATGGGGCAAAGCATTATTGTCATTGTAGTCACTGATCCCAGCAATGGGGAGATCAAATGATGCTGGTAAGAGCTATAGAACCAAAATATGAAATATGTGTTTAATATAAATATAAACCGCGAGAGACAGCCTCATGCTATATGGATGGGAAGCAGTCTGTATTACATAGTTATACTGCCCCATCTCCAATTCAGTTATAGATACAGTCCCGGAAATGGGAATGGGCAAAGACAATTTCCAATTCTTTCTTGAACAGAGAAATTTGCACCACCAACCTGAAGAAAAGCAACACAACACTGCAAGCAATCCAAATATCTTTCAGCAAGCTTTCATTCAAAGAAATGATAAAGAAATACTGAACATGTCACACTAGGTCTGATTTCACAGTATATCAGCAGTCACGAGTACTAAAACACTACTCTAAAGAGCAATAACCGAGTTGACGTTGCTGGATTTATACATGGACTCCACGTCATAACATTTTCAGAGGAGCCTTTTAAAGGGTTTTATTGAATAATTGATCTCCAGCTATATGGAGTATGGAAAGCCACAAGAAGCTTTGAACTTTCTTTCTAAAAAGTGACTGCTCAGTAGATAGGGAGAATAGTTCAATACCTCAATTTTAAAGAGGACGGTTAAATTGCATCAAGAATAAGAATGATCTCAGCTAGTATTTACTTTATCCCTATCTCATATCCTATATCTATTTGTCTCCTTTTTCTCACCTTGCAAGTCACTGTAACTTTGGGACTATAGAGACTAGAACTGATGAGATTCAGGCTTACATATTCACTTATCCAAGGGATGAGTGAGTGTCTTTAGGCCAGTGTTCAAGTTTAGAGGAGAAGTTATTGCACATTATCTTATGCCTTTGGGCTTAAACATGGGGCTAAACGAATGAAGGCTCGGTCTCAGTGCTCAAAGCCAGAAGCCAGCTTCTGATGGTTTGTTTCCCCCACCAGGATCTATGGGAATGTAATTATGCTGGATTCTGCTCTTCTAATGTAGGCTGAGGCCACGTCCAAGTGTTTCCCTGTTACCAATCTGGATGCAGTTCTAATCATACGCTCTGACATCATCTCACCTGTGCTTTGCGACCCCGGTTGACAAAGGTGCAGACAGGATTATATGCGCCAGTGCCACAGACATATAAGTGTGTTCGATTCCAGGGCTGGATAAGTCGGATGAAGTTCCCACACTCACCCTAGAAGACAAATGAAATATTAACTTAAGCCTCCTACAAAATTGAGTCCGCTTCAAGAAGAGAAGGTGAGCAATTGCATCCTCTTTTCATCATGGCCCCAGTGGAAGAGTCAAATATAGAAGGTCTTCTGCAGGAAATGGCTTTACTATTAAAGAAAGCTCCTTGTGCACTGCAACAAGCATAACTACGTACAGACAGGTAGTTATGAGCATTGAGCGGTCACTGAAGTGGCACTTCTGAGCAAATGAGGCCTGGTGCCCCTTTAGAATCAGCAAATATAGATTGTGAAGCATTTCTTCCAAAGAGATTTTGGATGTTTCTGCAAAGCAAATTTTCTGCATGCCCTATTTTTGGTGCTTTCTCTCCCATCCTCTTTATTTTTATTTTTAAGAACTCTGAATTATTTCCCATTTCAGAGCCAACATTCTTTTTCCCCCCATGTCTTACACTACAGCATATTTGTAGCTGAAACAGACTATAAATGGTGTAGGTCAAAGATTTCCTTCTTGTCCTTGGCAATTTTTCTAAAGTCTGAGAAAATAATAGTTGTACAATTCTAGAGGACTATATTAGGATTGCAAATGCCAGACTCCTGGTCCTGCTTATTTTCAAACACAAGGAAAATGATCTGAATACAAATGCATAAAAGGAAAATCCTTCTAATCGACCCAAAAGAGAACTTTCTTTTTTATTGGTTCCGAGGAAAAAGGAAAAGCACTTGTTAAACCCACTTGTTAAACCCACTTGTTAAACCAGTGATTTTTCAATGTTGGTAACTTCATGATGTATGAACTTCAATTCCCAGAAATCCCCAGTCAGCACAAATGATAGCTATAGTGTATAAGTGTATTAGAAATGAGTGTGGTTATGTGTATAATGTCTACATTATATAATTATAATTACACTCATTTTAAGCACTTGATATGTTTTTTTTAAATTATGTATGATTTTGCATCTTGTTTCTTTTGTTTTTCTCCTTTTCTCTGTCACTATTTGAAATGCAACAAGAATTATTTTAAAAACTCCCAGAATTCCTCAGCCAGTACACAATAAGAAAGTTATATAAATAATGTGTTAAGGTATTAAACAAATAAATAAATTTTTGGCAAGAGGTTGAGAGCCCCTTGCCTCACTCCCTCTGATTTGATCCTTATCATTTTTTATCAGTTTAACCGTAGCTTTATTTTATTGTGAGCTTCCCCAAATCATTGGGGAACAGTTTTTATACAAATTTAATTTATTATTATTATTAGCTTTATTCTTTATCCATGAAACTCAGTCAACTGAACATTCAAAAATGCATCACTTGACTGGTGCTAATGGTTGATATGGGTTGCTGCCAGCATACTAGGTTTATTTAAATAAATAAACCAAGTTTATTTATTTTATTGTTTTTGTTATTGTTGTAATTGTTGTAATTGTTGTCTCTCTCTCTTTGGTGAGATTCACAGCCTTTGGGGCTGGTAGGTAGCTCAACAGCTCGAGTCCTAACCAAGGACCTAGGAACTGTTAAGGTAACGTCGGAGGATATAAGCTGTTCCAAGTAGGGTGGGTTTTTTTGTAGAATCAGAATGTTCAAGTCCGATAAATTTAGAATTTCCAAAAAGTGAGGTAGCCCTTTAGGTATTGCTTCAAGGGCTTCAATTACAATTGGAACAACAAAAGATTTCTTTTTCCATAGTCGTTCAACTTCAATTTGCAAGTCCCGGTACTTTATGATTTTTTCTTGCTGCTTATCTTCAATTCGCGCATCGCCAGGTATTGCAATGTCAATGGACCAAACTTTTTTTTTTCAACTATTGTTATATCAGGTGTGTTGTGGGTCACGGGCCTGTCAGTCTGAATTCTGAAATCCCACAAGATCTTGTCTTTTTCATTCGCTAGAACATTACTACTACTATTATATACTTTATTCATTAAACATGAAACTCAGCCAACTGAACATTCAAAAATGCATTACAAATACCAGTGACTGGTGCTAATGGTTGATACAGTTTATTGCCAGTGTCCTAGGTATCAACCAAGTACCTTCTTAAAATATAAGATGTTCTGAGTAGCACAGTTTTTGCAGTTTTGGTGTTATTGCAGGAAGCTGCAATTTGTTGATGTATCTTGTAAAATTCTTGGACATGGTGCCAAGTGCCCCAATGACAATGGGTATCACTGTTGCATGCTTCATCCATAGCTGTCTAGTTTCGATGGCCAGGTCGCAATATTTCATGATTTTTTCTAGTTCTTTTTCTTTGACTCTGGCATCTCCAGGAACAGCGATACCAATAAACTGTACACTTTGGGCCTCTAAAACTGTGATATCTGGCGTATTGTGCTATCTGGTGTATTATTATTATTATTATTATTATTATTATTATTAATAATAATAATAATAATAATAATAATAATAATAATAATAATAATAATAATAATTCTGCAGTGAAGCCTAAGTAAAGAAAACAATGCCATGTTAGTAATTTTTCATCTTAATTAATTTCTCTTTTTTAGCAATTGAACAAAGATAAAAGTGATGCTTGTTGACACCTTAATGACATTGTATTTCAAGATAGTGGGGACCATTTAGAAACCTTCTGAAGCTCTCCCTCTCCTTATTCAGAAGGAGAAACTGATGACTAGGATGACTATTTAATGGATGGATCTGTTAGAGCGATATTTTGCATTCTCAGAAACTTTTAAGATGTATGACCTTCAACTCCTAGAATTCCCCAGCCACCATGCTAGGGGATTCTGGGAGTTGACGAGCATACATCGTAAAGTTGTCAAGGTTGAAAAATGCTGCATTAAACAGTGTGAAGGGCTTGGAACCCCTTGGCTAATAAAACTTATACTGAATATTTAGCAAGTGGCAACGGAAAACACCAGAGAATAAGCAGAGAATTCCCAGCATGTGGCAAGGCCTAAGCTTATTAATTAATTGGATCTAGGACCAGGAATGAAGCATAAAGCAGTGTGTCTGAGCATGGAGTCCCATTTCCTCTTCACAGCTCATGTTTCCTCCTTGCCTCATGCCTCAGTCTGGAGGATCTCAGCTGGAGCCAAGGGTAATAAAGTTCAAGAGGAAGGGAAATATGCAAGCAAATGCAGCTTCCTTTGCTCAGGGCGTTTGGCTCCTCTGAAATTAAACCCCAAACAGTAGCAGCTGAGAGGTCTCAACAAGACAGAGTTCAAGGACAGTTGGTCAAAAGGCTAGCTAGGCTTTGCAGGAAACAGCTTGGTAACCTCTAACCTTGCTTCCTTACTTTTACTAAGACAAAAAAATAGTGTGCATTATTACCAACAAACTTAGTTCTGGCTGAACATATTTTCTTGGCTCCTACAATTTAATGCTGATAAGGCTTCTTCATCTGATTATGTTCCATGCACAGAAATTTTAAAAAAAAAACATTTTCAGGCACAAAAACTCTAGAAATTGCCAGGTTGTGGCTCATGAGCTTTAGTCACATGCATTTCCATGTCATACACAGCAACATATCCTTCAGTTGAGCAAGGTTGCTGGGAGAACATAGGCTTCTCCTCCCTCACTACTCATGCTACCATAGGTTTTTGTCATTACCAGCTGAATACCAGAGATTCCTTCCTGCCATTTTTCTGATTAGTTACTATTGAGCAAAATAGCAACAGCGCTAGCAATAGCACTTAGACCTATATACTGCTTCACAGTGCTTTACAGCCCTCTTTAAGCAGTTTACAGAGTCGGTGTATTGACCCCAACAATTTGGGTCCTCATTTTACCCACCTCGGAAGGATGGAAGGCCGAGTCAATCTTGAGCCTGGTGAGATTTGAATTGCCAAACTGCAGCTAGCAGTCAGCTGAAGTAGCCTGCAGTACTTCACTCTAACCATTGCACCACCTTGGCTCTATATGGGCAAAGTTCCATAGCAGATCTAGAACTAGATCTGGCAGTCAAAGATCGCACAAAGTCCATAATCCACAGGTTGTCTTCCATTCTGCACTGATCTGTTGTCTTCAGCTCAAAAACCTAAACCATTAACTTTAGCCCTTATTTTGTTCTCTTATAAAAAAATATGGGGAAATGCAGGTGTACAATTGCTCTCAATTCTTGGGTTCATGATGTTGTTGCCAAAGTCTTTTTTCTCAACAATCAGTAAAGAACAATTCCAGGTAGTCCTCAACTTCCAAGAGTCCATTTGGAGAACTTTCAAAGTTACAACAGCACTGAAAAAAGTGATTTATGACCATTTTTCACACTTGCAATCTTTGCAGCATCCCCATGGTCACACGAACAAAATTCAGACACATGTGGCAACTGGCACATATTTTTGACAGATGTAATGTCCCAGGATCATGTTTGTGATCTTTTTGCAATCTTCTGACAAAGAAAAATCAATGGGGAAGCCAGGTCCATTTAACAATTGTGTCAATTAACTTAACCACTGCAGTGATTTGCTTTAAACAAGTGTGGCAAGAAAGGTAGTAAAATGGAGCAAAATTGACTTAACAATTGTCTCACTCAGTAACAGAAATTTTGGTCTCAATTATGGTTGCAAGTTGAGGACTACCTGTATGAAACATAAATCATAAGATACAAATCCACGTATATCTTATGTATCTGAAGATACAAATATTGAGGGCCAAAAGATTATAAAACCCTTGCAGGAATAGTGCAGAAATGACCTAAAATGGGGTCATCTTTTAGCAAACACAGCAGTCAACAGAATTCTATTATTAGCTGCCACCTAAAGTATCTGGACTTCATGGCTGAAAGGGTGAGAGTAAACAGGAGGTGGGATGAGGCAGGAAAAGGTGGCAAAGCACACTCAGTATTTGCTGATTTTTCTTGTCCGCCTGAAACCCTTGTGGAGGTGTGAGCAATACCCTTCTTGAGCCTATGGTGATTTCTATTTTAAAGATAGGTGAAAGATGAACCTCCAGCAACCTTTCCTGCATAATATTAGGACTTCACCATCCTGAATGAGCTTGGGGATAACATCAGAAGTACTTACATTATTGTTCTTTCCTGAGAGGACACATTCATCTATCCTTTGCTGTGATGCAGGCCAGTGGATCTGCCAAGTGAAACGACATCTCACAGTTACAACTCTGATTTCCCATATTTTCCCCTTAACCCTGGCCCCAAGCCAGACAATACCGTTTATTGAATTGGAAGTTTTGCATTAGATATCACTTGGAGTTTTTCCATGTGATTATGTTAGAAGCCAGCAGTCACATCACCTAGCTGTTAGTTCCAGATGTGTTTCTTAAATGCCTTACTTTTTTTTGGGGGGGGGGCTATTCTGGAAATTACCCCATTCCTTTGACCAGGGGTGTTAAACTCATGGCCCCTGGCCCCAATGAGTCACGTGCTAGCCACGCCCACCTCCGGTTTAGCGAAGGAGAAAAACCATTGACACACCTGCCTTTGACTGTGAAAAAAACCCTATTTATCAGTGGGTGCAAAGTACAATGTGGCTGTTCTGGAATCACAGCAACAGGCTAAGTTCTTGTCGTAATAACAAGTACATACAGACACAAATACAAATTTTAAATTTATACTGCTTCATAAATAATAGTTTAGAAATGAAGAACATTTAACTATTTAAAACATTTTACAGGAATGATCATGAAACCCAGTTTAAAATGCAGAGATATAAGCAATGATTCTCACTCTTAAGATTAAGTCACCTGAGTTTACGAAGACGCACCTTGGTTTAGTGGTTAAGGCACCAGACTAGAAACTGTGAACTCTAGTCCTGCCTTTGGCACAAAGCCAGCTAGGTGGCATTGGCCCAGTCACTTTCTCTCAGCCCTAGGAAGCAGGCCAGCAATGGCAAACCTGTTTTGACATCTTGCCAAGAAAATTGCAGGGACTTTTCCAGGCAGCCTCCAGGAATCAACACTGACTTGAAGGCACAAATATAAATAGTTATGTATTCCTGAATGGATCTATAAGTTATTTCTTTCCATCCACATCTCTCTACTGAGTTAAAAATGGAAAATGACCCTCCTTAGGCATCTTTTCCAATCAGATAGCCTATAGATTACATGTTGAGCTTTCCTCTGGTCCCAAAGCACTCTTGACTTTAAGTGAGCAAGCAGACAAAAAGATAAATAAGCACTAAATGGCATTGTGGCGCAAGAGATGCCTGTCAAAAGTTTGTTTAATAATTTTGTTTTATGTTTGGTAAACTAATCTTATACTGAATGATGTAGGGGAAAAAACTCTAAAGAGACAAAATACTCTCCCCAAAAGCAAAACAAAACCGTTCCTAAAAGTTCTGGACAAATATTGTTTAATATTTTGTTCATTGCATTAAGCCCCAGAAAAAAATGATCATTAAAAAAAAGCAATCCTATTTTCAACTTATTTTTCCAAAGAGACTCATCTGCTTCAATATCTGTCTACTGCAAATTCAGCACAGATTCAGAAGCATTTTGTTCCCCATCAAACAGAATTTCCCTCAGCCTACCCCTGAAAAGAAATTTTTAAAAATATTCTTACAATCAAGGGCTCCCGATTGATATCATGAAGGTCCAGTGAGAGGATGTAGTCTTTGCTCCCCACATACATTCGGTCATGATCTTCATCCTTCAGTAAGATTCGGTAGTCTGTAGAGTTGAGAAGGAAATTGAAGAAGCGTGCAGTTCCAGTGGCCTTGAGCTCTACAGGAACAAACACAAGAAAAGGCTTGTAATGATTGTCTTCTTCTATACTGATTCAAAAAAAAACAAATATTGGGAATAGTATGCTTGATTTAGGAGAAATCAACATGCTCCCCAAACTCAGTAAGACATTTAACTCTAAAATATAGCAATATGTATGCGTGCATAGACATTAACAAATTATTAAAAGAAACACTCATTTTGTATCAATGCTATGTGTAAATATAGCTTATCTTATGAGCCGTGGTGATGCAGTGGTTAGAATGCAGTACTGCAGGCTACTTCTGCTAGCTGCAAATTGCCAGCAGTTCGGCAGTTTGAATCCCACCAGCCCAAAGGTGAACCAACCTTCCCATCCTTCCGAGGTCAGTAAAATGAGGAGCCAGGTTGTTGGGGGCAATAGGCTGACTCTGTAAACCGCTTAGAGAGGGCTGTAAAGCTCTGTGTATAAGTCTAAGTGTTATTGCTATCTCATGAGACCCCATCAACCCAGATTTAGCTTGAATGATTGAAAACCAAGGGTTTCCACTGCATCTAACTCTTCCTATTTTCTACTAGATTGTCAATCAGTGAGGCCCAAAGGCATCTATGATACATATGAGAAAAGCTAAATAAAAAAGTATTTCTATAAAACATTCTGCAAATTAAAGAATAATATTCAACTGTTAAAAATACCAGTATGAAAATCAAACTTCTGTTCAGTCTTACATATTTATTGTGTACAATGACAATAAAGACTATACTACATACAATGAAACAGTTTAGCCCCATACTGGATATTCATTGTATTCATTTCAATTAGTGTCACATTTGGAACACTGAGCATTTGAAAAATGGGATTTCATTTCCTAGCATGTTAATTATATTAAAAAGGGGTTTTCCAGTTCTGGCCTCCTTGCAAATCAGGCATACTGAGATTGTCCAAGCTTTGCCAAGTAACTGTGTGCAAAAATCTCCATATCAAGAACCAGTTCAATTTTTTTTCTTCTGGACTATGCTGATCCAGCCATTCTGGGAGGTAGCGTTTCTCAGCTGTTTATAAGAATACATTTTCTGAAAGGGAAAATGATTCGTGGTTTAACACCGATTATAAGAAGCATTTTTACAAAGCTTGGGCTTTTTTGTTTACTTTAAGAGTGAGAAACTAACAGTCTTCCAAAAAGTGCTAACTAAAGTTGCCAGCAGCAATAGCAATAGCAATAGCAGTAGACTTATGTACCACTTCATAGGGCTTTCAGCCCTCTCTAAGCGGTTTACAGAGAGTCAGCATATTGCCCCCAACAATCTGGGTCCTCATTTTACCCACCTCGGAAGGATGGAAGGCTGAGTCAACCCTGAGCCGGTGGGATTTGAACCGCTGAGCTGCTGATCTAGCAGTAGCTTGCAGTGCTGCATTTAACCACTGCGCCACCTTGGCTCTAGCAGCAGCCTTAGGTAGCATGATCAATAATGAGTGATGCTGGAGAACCCTAAAAACCTAACTCCTAGTCTAAGTGATATGCTTTGAGACTCTTTCTAAGTCCTATTCCTTTTTCTGATTACTTTCTTGGAATTAGCCTTTTGTTTGTCTGACCTATCTTCCTAATCCATTGTTGCTTCTTTAATCTTTAACTTCTTAGTGATGTTAACTATGTATTTATTTGCCATGGCCCATCTCATTCATATTCTGGAGCTCTCTTTTCTCTGGCCTGTGTGGATTAATGATCATCTTCCCATTCTCTTTAAATATTGATGTCAGCTTCTGCTTTGCTGTTGCTTCAGCTGCCATGAAACGGGGAGGGAGGGCATGGTATTTGGGTGGGGTTACTCGATGTGCTGGAGGAATGTTCTGGAGTTCACTGGATGGTCAGACTACGCATGCGTGGGTGTTTCCCGCCTGGACTAACGGCACCGACATTCCATCTTCGTGATGCCTTTTGAAGTTATCTCACACCTGACACTTGAAGGACTTATGATTGGCCTAGGCCTATGATGCCAGGGGGTGTGGAATGGGCTATTCTATATATCAACTGCTTTCGCGCCTAATTAATCAGACTTCGCTATGCAACCGCTCTCTAACCATTTTTAATTAGTAAAAGTACATTTGATTTTCCACACATGGAGTCTCATGGTCTTTCTTTCCTAATTATTAAATGGAGAGGTGCTGACAATCTACATATAGAAATGGACCTCAAGTTCAATGGAAGAAACTTAAATTAACCTCAACCTATAGAGCAGGAATGTCAGCTTGGATAGGTTTCTATAGAAAAGGACATTAGGCAAGATTTGGGAAGGCTACGTTCTCCCCTAAATGTGCTGTATATGAATAAATTATTTTCTTTTTCTCCAAATCTATTTAATTCAGCTTGGGAACAGAATAGTGTCACAGTTTATCCATATGTATTATCCTATCAGATTTACATGCTTGTAAATGAATTTTACATGTTGCTGTAAAAAATATCCTACATCTACAGAATCTATAAAGATCAGCTCCAAAAAGGAGAACCGATGCCTGAGACTGATTTCACACCTTGATTCCACTCACATCAAATAAAAGCACGCTGATAATTAACAACAGTTCCTTTTACAACGCACCGACACTGAATTTTAACCTGGAGGAATATGAAGGTAAGCAAATCAATACAGTGAGGAGTCATAATTTCACTCAAATGAGATCTTTCCTGGAAATAAATCTCCATGGAAATTGGCCTTCCAACTTATCGAGAGCAAAACAGCAAAGTGTTTGATAATTGCCACTGAACGTTCCCTACACCTCTGTATAATATGTCAATATAATTACCTTTTAAAAACAACAAATAATTAATGTAAGCTTGGAGGAAGCTGTTTGCCAAAACTGCCAGTGAATTAATTACATAGCCGGGCACTGAACCCACACAGGTCCTTTGTTTGTGCAAGTGTGCTGTTCAGTGTGGAAGGGGGCATAAAACTATGCAGGTTTCCCACAGTGAACCTCTTGTCAGTGCAGCGTCCTAGGCAGAGACACTGTTCTTAATTTGGACAAGTTCTTTTAAGAAAGAGAATTGGAGCCAAGACTCCAATTCTGTTCTCACTTCTGGTTTGAGGATTATTGAGTAGTTTGCTTCCTCAATTATTATTGTATTATCATCAAGAGGCTGTAGATACTGCAAAAGCCAGTCTATAGCAGACTTCCAGATACATTAGTTGTCAATTCTTCCACCGGTTGGTGGGATGGTCTGGGAGCTGTAGTCTACATAAATTGCCTGATCTCAGTTATTTAGCTTACCTGTTAAGACTCATTCCATGTTTTCATGGCTATTATTATGTGATCTGGGGCAATGTGGTGGCTGAGTGGTTGAGATGCTGGGCTTTTCAGCTGGAAAGCTGGCAGCCCAGCCTAGGTTGTGTTCTGAGTGCCATGGGACAGGGAGAGCTCCTGTCCTTGCCCCAGCACTTGCCAACTTAACAGTTCTAAAGTATGCAAATGCGAGTAGATAAATAGAGGGACCACTTCGATGGGAAGGTAACCAGGGATTCACTAAGAGTCACTAAGGTTGAGAAACACTGGCTTACACTGAAGCTGCCCTATCTTTCTGTGATATCCACACAATTTGGATAATTACTACCAATGAAGCCATGATGCCTCCAACCCCAGAAGAACATCCAGCAGACCAGCCAAGGATACAAACCAGAAGGAAGAAGCAGGTAAAAATGAGGTTGATTGGAAAGGCTTTAAGAGACCAAAGGAGAAAGGAGGAATTGTAGGAGTGCTGAGGAAAATAATAGCTGAATTCATCTGGTTAACAATTAGACAGATCATCTGGTTGTGAAGCGGATTGACTGTAACTTTCCAGCTGTCAAACATATATTTCCACTGGACAATTAAGCCACATCTCCTTTATTATTGCAACATATGAAATGTATTTTGAATCCAGACATAGTAAGCGATTGATCATTTTTGTGTGATGAATTAGCACACCAAAAAGATTAATAAAACACACCAGTCATCCTACATTCGGATATCTGAGATTGTCCATTCCATCTTTCCCCATATTGCTACTTGCTGTTAAGAGATTTCTTTACAATTCAATGCAATTTATTATATCACATTTACAAAAGATATTGCTGAATATATGGTGACACTTGATAATTACATTCCAAATGCACAACTTTGAGAATGTGCTACAATCCTGCCCACACATCCTAGAGCTTTGAGTCCTGCAAAGTTAAGCTAATGTAGAGCTGCATTTCTATAATATGTTCAGTCCAAACTTCTTTCTGGAACAAAAGTAATATCCAGAGTAAAGCCTTTTGTTAAAGAAAGAGGAGGGGGGGAATAAAATGTAGCCTCAACTCTCCACTTTAAGAAGAAGAAGCAAAAGATAGAAATGGATCTATAATTCAATATTTGGGTGATTTGTGCTAAATAGCAACCATTCCTCCCTCATACTGTTTAACAATGGCAGCAAGAATATTATTCTCTGCTTCCCTCCAAATTCTGCTGCTTCAGCAGAAGATATCCAAAATTGGGGTTTAATGTTAGAGAATTGTGAGAGTATTTAGCTCTAGAACTAAAACAAATTTCAGAACTATAATAATTAGTACTCCAATAAACAATTTCATAAACATATTTATTGAAAAGTGAGCCTTGCCCTATTATCTACTGCCAGCTGGTAACTGTGGAGTAACTAGTTAAAAAAAAAAGAGAGCTGTTTCTGCAACCTGAAATCAGTGCTTTATTTCAGACAGGAAAGCTTGAAACCGGGAGATTCATTAAGGAAAAAGATATTTCGTATATCTATGTGAGTGAAACCCTTGGGATTCAGAAAAAAAACCTGATGAATTTTCAGATTGCTGCTGGCTGTGGAGAGGAAGATAATAGTTTGTTATTTTTTTCATCGAGCAAAGCATGAAGTATAAAGTCAAGAAATCTGAACATGATGTCAAGTAGCCAGTTATGAGGTGACATGAGCCAGCAACAGAAGAATCAATCAATCAATCCATCCATCAATCAATCTGCTTGTTTTTTTTATTTGCAGGTA